CAGCAGTTCTGACAAGGACACCAACAGGCAGATTTTCATCACCCTTTTGGCTGAGCCCTTCTGGAACTGTGGACAGATTTTCTACATGCAAAGTTCTTTACAAAACTCCCCCCTATAACATAGGAATGGCACAGATTCCTAATTGCAGCCAACCTTGACCACAGATACCATTACATAGATCCAGCCCTTGGCCCTCTTTGTGGATGCAAAAATGCCTTGGAGAAATAATATTAATATGGCTTTGCTAATTGATGGTGTTTTGGTTGGCTTTGAAGCATCTGTTGATTGACCATCCTCAACTGTCATTTCCTAAACCCAGTTTTTTTCTTCTTGTTTATCTTCCCTGGCCTTGTTTGCACACAGCCACCACCCAAAAACCTCTCTCTTTCCAGGGAGTAGGATTTATCACTCCTATTTCAGTAGCAGCAGAGCACAGAACAATATAGGGCCTGTGCAAACAACTGCTGCTGTTTTCTTTTGCTTTTCATTTATTCCTTAGTGGTAAATCAGTGCATTCCAAACCAAACAAAACCCAGAAGATTTAGGACCCAAAGAGCAGACCAGGGCAAAATAATAGGGGCTGAGGACAGGTTGCATTTAGGAATGAAGCAACAAGTAGGCCTTGAAAGCAAATTAAATGTTTAACCTGTGCTGCATTCCTCAAATTGTTCCTGGCTGTAATGACACTTTGGCACTCAGCAAATGGCAGGATCAGGTGCCTGGGTCCCTGAACACCACACAGGGAGAGAACTGGCCTGAGCACAGAAACTGCCTGGGGTAGGGACCATCTTTATGTGGTTGATGGATCCCCCAGGACACTCCAGTGACCACAAGCAAGAGCCCATGTAAGTGCAGGTCCTACAGGATACTGGGACTGGGAATTATAACCTGTAGATTTTTGTCTCAACTCTGTCACCAAGCTTGACCTTTCAGAAGACCATAAAGGACCATGCAAGCCTGAGCCACTGCATTACAAAAAAATACACTGGTCCACACACCAGCTTCTCCTTTGACTTCATTTCTGCCCAAACTGGCACGTTGGCCTGACATTTGTAAGCCAATGCAGGGCTGCCACCTGTTTTTTGCATAGTTGGACAAGATTGTCAAGGAAAAGAAGGTGAAATGAATCCTCAGGATCCTGCACCAGCACTTCTCAACTTTAACAGCGTTCTTACAGAGCAGGACTGAGATCCTTCCATGACCACGTGGGGACTGCACAGCCCGCACTCAGGATCCCGTGGGATGAACAAGGCTTTGGAGCCGAGCAACCGAACATAATCCACCTTTACCTGCCCGTGGTAAAGCCGAGCTCGGACGAGCGGGCAGCGCCTGGAGAGCTGAGCTTATCTCTGTGTTACAGCGATCTCTTGGAGCGCCTGTTCAAAGCCCTTTGGAGGAGGCGCCCGCCCTCCCCCCGGAGCAGAGGCTTTTCCTGGGCTCGGTCCCGCTGTTTGCAGCGATCCCGGCCCGTTTGTTGGAGCAGCTCTCCCGGGACTCCCTCTGGCCTGGCCTGCGCTGCCGATCCCGGCGGGGAGAGGGAGCAGACGCCGTCACGGCTCAGAGCGAGCCTTGTTCTCAGCCTGCCTGGAGTGGCCGTGGCAGACACGGATAAAAGCGGTGCCCGGGAGGCATCTGCCTGCAACGAGGCGTGCGCGGCTGATGCGCAAGGATGAACAGATGGGTTGATTACACAGGGAGAAATGGACACTAATCGTATCCAGATTCACCAGCTGCAGGATTTCCTCCTGAGCCCCGAAGTACAGGAAGCCCTTACCTGCTTCGTTATCCTGCCTCTGTTCATTAGCCCCTTCCCCCGCCCGGGGAACCGCATCCCGCTAATCCCCTGGGCAGGGCAGGGCCCGGACTGCAAAACTGAGATCCAGATGGGAACTCGCCCAGTGCTCAGGCATGGCTGGGTCCAGCCTCAGGTCAGGGGCCGATCCTGGCTGTCAGATCCAGCACAGGCTCCACTAGCTCAGGTTTCCCTACTCTGGGAGCTCGTTGCCAGACTCTTCTTTTGCTGCTGCCTCTCTGAAGAGTCTGGAAGATTTCAGGACTAACAAGAGCAAGTTGAACAACAGAGACTGTGTTGGGGTTCAACACCTCATTGTGTGTCCTCACATCTCTGCTGAGGTGCAGCCACTCCTGGGGTGGAGTGTGAATGTGTGTTAACAGCACATGGCTGATGGGGCCAGGGAGAGAAGGGGTTTCTTGGATGGAAAACAGCAGAGGCAACCCCCAGAAGGCTGTAGGACAACTGGCCAGACTGAACTGGGAAGTGCTATTGGAGACCTCATCTCTGTTCTTACTCCTGGGAGACTGAGAGCTGCTGAGTTGTTGGGTTTCATCACCTGCTTGGATTTTGTGCAGCCAGCTTGGAGAAGGAGCAAAGCCCTCCTAGGCCTCTTTATCCATGTCCCTCTGCATCCATCCCAGCTCTCTTCAGCTGCAATAATGTGCTTCCAAGGTAGAGTGGCTGGAAGGCTGATCCTAAATATACTCCCTTTGGGCCTGCTCAGCTCCCAGGTTCTTATCCTGATCCTTCTCCCAGAAACTGAAGCTGTTGATCACATTGGTATCAGCCCCTGACCTGACTTTTGGTGAAGTCTCCACATGAGAACTGCTCAATAAGCAGTAAAACCCAAGCTCTTGCTCTGAGTTGGGCTTTTGGGACCTTCTCTCTTGCATGCCCAGGGTACCTTCACTCCCAACCCAAGCTCAGGCCTCTGTTGTCAAACTTGGTGCAAGAAAATGAGCCTGCTCCCATCCTGCTGCCTGCTTCCATCCTGCTCCCATCCTGCTGCCTGCTCCCATCCTGCTGCCTGCTCCCAAGCCACTCTGGCTCCACGTGCCAGGATGCCACAACCTGCCCCTGTAACCTCCATTCCCCTCACCAGAGCTGATGCCACGACTGAAGGACAGGAGAACCACTCCCTGAATTCTTGGTTTAACTCCCAGAACCTCCCTGCCCAGGCAAAGCTGCTTCAGTTCCCCACTCCTGGCACTGAAGCATCAGAACAGACCATCCCGTGAGTTCAAACCAGACACTGAAGGCTGAGCCAAAGGTGGCTGTGGCTGCCCTGCAGAGCCCTTGAGCTGAAAGGAGGAAGAGGAGGAGGAGGAAGCAGCACAACGCTTGTCATGGTCTTGCAGGTGAGGGGAAACCTCCTGCCCGGTCCTGCAAGAGCCTGGACTGGGATGAAGGACCATCTCCCTTAGGCTGGTCCTCTGTTCCCAAGCCCAGCAGGGCAGTGACACTGAGGTGCTGGCAGCAGCCACAGGACAGAACAGCACTGCTGTGGGAATGAGCAGCAGAGGTGCTTGCAAAGCCACCACCCCACAGACCTCCCAGAACCGGGTGATATTTGGTTGTCATCACCTCAACAACACAACAGCCACTTCTTAGACCCCACAGACCTCGCTTCATGCGCGTGTTGGTTGTGTCCTTCACTTGGCTACTTCTCTTACATTTGCTGTGGCCAGGACTGTTTGTGAGCGACCTTAGCATGCCAAACCCTGCGTATCTCGTGGGCTTTCCAACTGCAAAGCCAGACAGCACAGCTCAGTGCCCATGAGCAACCCTACAATAACAAACCAGCCACCTCGCTTTGTCCTCCCAGGCCTCACCTTTGGCAGCAGCCAATTATTGAAGTTAAACAGTAGCTACGAGCAACTCCACCATAACAAACTGGTACTACAGAAAAAAAGCAGGGGGAAATTAGGGGCTGAGAGAGGTGCAGGAAGGAAAATAAATGGTGTTCATTCTTCTGATGCCCAGCTGTGGGGTTGCAGAGGGTGGATCAGATCAGGGTGTGTCTGGACACCGTGTTCTCCATGGTGCATGAAACTTCCAGCATCAGCTCTCCCTTGGATGGGTTCCTACAAGGATCTTGCAAAACTTTTGCCCCCATATCCATTGGAACAATTTGTGGAAAGCCTGAGGATGGGGCCTACAAAGCCTAAATTCAATCTCACTGCCTTTTACCCCTTCTTTGCCTACCAGAAGTGGTCCCTGGAGTGGTAAAGCTGCTCACATGGATGGTCCAGCATAGGGGAAGTTTTTCCCCTCGGGTCTGGCCTGTGGAAACACAGAGCTCAGCGTTTTCTGCAGCTATAAATCAGGCAGTTCTCACCAATTTAAGTTTTGCTCTGAGTCGAAGGGGGTGGGGGGGCGGGTTTAAAAAAAAAAGAAAAAAGGAAATCACAATCCAAACTCTGCCTTGGCCAAACTTGGTCCTTTTAAGGAAAGGAAATTTCCCAGAGCCACCCTCGACAAACCTGGGGGCCTGATCCTGCTCTCAGGAATGTCTGTGCAAGTCCAGAGTGGCTCTGCTGCTGGCTGGGGGGTTACAGCAGCCGACCAAGGCTCCCACCAGGAGATGGAGCAGAGCAGCCCAAAAGCAAACTGGGTTTTCAGGGGCAATAAACAGCAGAAAGATCCAACTCCCCATTTCAAGAATTCATCCTTTCTGCTGAGCCATGTTCTGGAAGCACAAGCCCTATTTTGCTGTGAGCTGTGTGGAATAAAACAGCTGTGTCCCTTGGCTGGATGGCGCTTCCAGGGGTGCCAGATGTTTTGCTTAGGACACGTCAGAAGGGCCTTGCTTGAGTTCAGGCTTTCTCTCCTCCCAGGCTGCTCACAGGAGCTTCAGTGGTTTGGTTTTTTTTAATATCTGCCCTCCACCAGCTTTTCCCAGGGAAGCAATAGGGACTGGGAGCAAATTGGGAAAGGTCTGGTTTCACCCCAGCCCCTGTTTGTATAAATAATCTGCAAGGGAAAAGCTGGACTGATGAGTAAAACACTTGTGCTCGCCTTCTCACTCAAATTAAGGGTCTGGATGTAACCTAGTGTGTACACAAGCTCTGCTGAAGAGGGAATCCCAACGCATTTTGGGGGTCTGACCCCAGAAATGCCTGACTGCCCCCAGCTCCCACAACAGGGGAATTTCAGCTTCCAAACTGAAGGAAGGTTGGTTGTGAAAACCTACCTACGGGGGTTCAGGGCTGGACCCTGGCGTCCCAGACACTAAACCAAGGTGCACGAGGTCACAGAGCTCCCTTTGGGGTCAGGAAGATGTGCAACAGCCAGGACAACATCTCTGGGAGGCTCTCACCATCCTGCTGGGTGAGGCAATTTTGGGGATGTTCCCGGAGCTTGGCTGATACAGCCAGTGCAGGCTGGTGGGTCACGGAGCCAAAGTAGGGCCGGGGCATTTGGGTGCTTTGTGGCCTTTTCAGAGGTTTTACTGTAGGGCCACATGTCACTCACTGGAAAAGGTTTTTTTCAGAGGACGGAGGAGGAGTGGGGAGGCTGGCCAGGGGGGGACGAGGAGGAAAAATTTGGTGAAGGAGGAGGGGTGGCTTTCATGGCTCCGAGCGCCTGTGGAGCGCGCAGCCGCCGGGAAGGAGGACCCTGCCCTGCAAACAAGCTGCTTTTGTTGTGTCCCAAACAGGCCTAAATTAAGTTTGACAGAAAGAGGGCAGATTCACCCGCGCCAGGCCAACCCCTGGGCTCGGGCAGGGCCGGGCCGGCCTGAGGAGCTTCGGTGCAGCGGTGCCAAATGTCGCCCCGGTGCGAGGCGTGAAGCTCCACGAGGCAGGAGGTGCCGTGCGGCCGAGGAGGGCCCCGTTAATCATCCCGGTGCCTTCAAAAAGCAGCTTCCTCCCAGCAGCGCCCGGCCCGGCCCGAAGGCCGCCATCGCTCCGGGAAAAGCTGCCTCCGGAGCGCTCCCTGGGCCGGCTCCCGCCCCGCTCCCGGGCATCTCCCCGGCCCCGCGCCCGCCCTGGCACGCCGTGCCAGGCGTGGAAAACCAGCCAGCTTCTAAACAGTTAACGCTGACAAAACCAGACGGCTTGAGTTCCCTCCTTCCCCAGATCGCTCCTGGTGTAATTCACCCCCCTAAAACGATATAAAATTATCCTCCTCCCCTGACCTCGCCCGGGTTGTCCTCGCCGCTGTCCTCCCGTCCTCCCTCTCCCTCCGGCCGCCCTCCCCGTGCCCCCAGCCTGCGCTGGCGTGGCCGGCCGGGAGCGGCGTGCCCACCGTGTGCCCGGCGCTGGGAGCTCCCACCACGTTTGCTGCGGCTGCCATGTTGAATTGCAAATCCGACATGATTTGACATATTTTTCCCCCCTCGGTGGTGCCCGGTGGGGAGTTAAGGAGCGCGCGGGTGACACGCACCCAGCCCCGGGTGGCTCTCGGGGACGTCCCGGGTGGTGGGGCGAGGGCGGGGAGAGAAATCACCCTCCAGTGCTGCTCCAAACACTGCACGTAGGGACCTGCCTGTCTGCTATACATCCCTCTATAGGAGACCGATTAAAGTCGGGTGTTTTAGCACCAAGGGCCAGAGGATTCGGCGGGAAGGGGTTTCGGGGAGAAGGCAGGTTACAGCAACAACAAAGCAACGGAGCAACTGGAGGAACAAAACGTTATTTCAAATCGAAAGCAAAAAAAAAAACCCCAACCGAACGAACAAAAAAAAAACCAAAAAAAAAAACAAAACCAAAATTAAGAGTGAGGTTCGATTTCGTACCAAGGCAGCAAGAGAGACGCACCGTGGAAGAGAGTGGTTTTGTTGTAGAGTAGTGGCTGGATTTAGCTCCGCTTATCCGGACAATCATCGGGGAAGGATCCTTTTCCGAGAAAGGCCAGTTTGAGTGAGACAGCTTTTTTTTTCCCTTCTCTCGCTCGCTCTCTCCCCTTTCCTTCTCCTCGCAGCTCAACGCCAAGAAATGGGCGGTGCCTGGATGCCAGGCTCCATCCGAATGAGACACCCAAGGCCAACGGAGGCTGGCACAAAGGCGAGCTGGCAGGAATTCCTGCACTCGGAGCCGCGCGCCTGTGGGACGAGCCCGCCACCTCCCAAAAAATCAACCTCCGACACCGCCCGCTCCGGAAAGTTGCCCCGTTGGGCTCGAGAACGCCCCATGAGGCTCAAGCACAGGGCAAAAAAAAAGGACAAGGGGAGGAAAAAAAAAATCCAAGACCTTTCTTTGCCTCGACACAGGTTAAACAAAAGGCCTAGGGAGGTGGATTATTTTTTTTCCGCCCTCCCCATGCTCCTTTTCCCGCCTGCCCATGCCTCTCCTCCCTCCTCTTGTCCTCCATTGCCATCTCCCTCGCCCGCCGCCCCGGCGTCCAGGCAGAAATGAGCCCTTGGCTCCCTCCTTCCTGGTTTTAGCACGACAGGAGGTGGCGGGTCCTTGAATAGGAACACACACACCCAACGCGAGAGGGACCCGATGGGGGGAGAAAAAAAAAGGGGACAAAAAAAATTTATATACATACAAACAACAACCCACCCACCATGGAGGACGGTTGGGAGCAGTCGCTGCCAAGGGTGGCGGATTGGGGGCGGTTTGGGTGCCAGGGGGTATTTTTGGCCTTATTTTGTTGCTGCTGTAGCACCTGGTTTGTGCCGATTGTAAAAGGGAGTCGCGTCGGGTTGGGGAAGGGAGCGGAGGGGGGGCAGCTGGGGTTGGTAGCGCTGCTGGGGAGATGCCAAAAAACCAAAACAAAACACGTTTTCATTTTGTCTGCACCAGCCTGGGCGCAGGCGAGCGCGGGAGAGAGGGAGGGAGAGGGAGGCGCACGCCAACAGAAACCCGCCGCGCTCAGACGCGGGCCTGCGGCCACGTCCCTCCGCAGCCGCCCCAGCAGCCGTTCCCGCTCCCTCGTCCCCCTCTCCCTGCCCACCCGGCTTCGCCTGCCAAGTCCGAGTTGGCACAGCTCCCCCGGCTGCGCCGAACAAAGCCGTCACCCATCCCCGAGCCGGCGCTGACAGTAAGCAAAGTGACAGGCGCATCTTCCGCATGTTAATCCAAACGGCAAGAAGGCGAACGAGCAGCGGAGGCCCCCCCTTGCCATGCACACACACCCCCCCCCTCCACCGACCCACGCACCCCACCCTTGGCACCCGACGGCCCCGATGGCCTCGTGCCGGGATGGCGAGGCCCCTGCCGGCGGGAGCACCGAAGCCTCCTCGTCGGCGAGGTTTAAATCGAGCCGAAGCCCTGCTCGGCGGGCAAACGAGGCCACTCGGCATCTGCTGTACCTGTTCCCGCTGCCTTCATCTCGCCTTGGAACCGTGACAAGAGCGCACTCGCCTCTGGTGGGCTCTCAAAGCCGCGGGTCTGTAACCCTTTGCAGGAAGTTGGCACCGATCCCAGGTAGGACTTTACTCCCCGGCTCTCGCTCTCTCCCCCCACCTCCGCCTCCCGCTCCCTCCCCTCCGCTCCCCCACCCATCCTGTCCCTTGGGCCCCTCTTGCGTCCCCCAAAACACCACGCGGCCCCCGCTCCCCCTCCGCTGTTCGCCCGCCTCGTCGGCCGGGGGTAACGTGGGGGGGGCGGCCGACGGCTGCTGGGTGCCCACCGAGCCCCTCGCGCCCACCGCCCTTGCACACGTACCCTGGAAGGATGACCTGGGCAAGACAGAGAACAACAACTTCCTGCTCTGGCTCCCTAAAACGCCTGTTTCCACGCAGGGTTTAGGCAGCGCGGCGAGACGGGGGGAGCTGGGAGGAGGTTTGGGGGTTTGTCGTCATTGAACCAGGCTTTTTTTCCTTTCCCTTTTTTTCCCCCTTTTTTCTTCTTTTTTTTAGCCTTTTTTGCCTTTTTTTTAGCCTTTTTTCTATTTTTTCTGCCTTTTTTTCCTCTTTTTTTTTTTTTTGGTGCCTTTTTTTTCTGGGTTTTTTTCCGAAACATATATTTTTGCCCGGCAGCCCAAACCCAACGCAAGAGGAAAGGGGGGGAAGAGAAATCAAATGGGAAGAGAATAGCTCCAAGTCGGCAGGACAATGCACGGGAAACGGGGAGATTAGAGTAGCTCTCGAAATCCATCACGCCCGCCCCGTTTCTGAACCGTTCGCCCCCGCGCCTCGTCTTTTTTAATTCTCCCAGCTCCTGAATTATTCCAGTCCACGAGCGGGAGGAGAGCGCACAGTCCAGAGTCCCTCAGAGCTGCCAAGAGCATTGCAACAGGAAAGAAAGGAAGCGAGAGAGGGAGAGCCAGGCAGAGCCCTCACAATCGAGCAGCGAGAAGAGCAAGGAGAAATTAACATCCAATTAGTGCCGTGTTTAACGAGGGAGACAGAGGCGGCTGTTGTTTTATTGCCCTGTTCTTTTCAGGCGCATCTGACAGGCAGCAGGGAAGGCACCCCTGCTCCGGGTGACGTCATCATATTTTATTTTTTAATTATTTCCCCCCCCCCTCCTCCCCCCACGTCTTTCCTTCTTTAAGTTTCGCACAGACGATCTCGGCAACTCGGCCAGGGGAAATTTGGGACTTTCTCGCATTCAAGCCACCGGCTCCCCCCTTCCACCTCCAGCCTCTCCCCCCCTCCGTCCACCGACACCAACCCCGGAAAAATAACCGCGCCAACCCACCCCAAAGTCTTTGTTCTTCCAAATGTAAAAAGGAAAAAAAAAGAAAAAGGAAGGAAAAAAAAATAATAAACGTCGGGATGAGAGCCGGAGGGAGCCCGGAGGAGGTTTCTCCGCGTGCGCGTCCGAGTGCGTGCGTGCGTCGGTCCCCTCTCCCGTCCCTCTCCCCAGACGCTCGCTCGCCTTGTAAAACTTTGCGGCATGTGACGCTGCTCCGGCCTCCTCTGGCAGCCTGACAAGAGCCGCCCGGCCGCAGAACGCAGGCGGCTTTTAAGGGAGAAACTCCATTCCGAGGGATTAGAGGATTCACATGCTCCCAGCGAGGGCCGGCGCCTCCAACAACGGCGGCACCGGTGGCGATGCGGACCCTCGCCCCGCCAGCCCGGCCGTGGGGTCACAGCAGGGGGAGAGGAGCTGAGTTTAAAGCTGGGGAGGCTTTTTCCCCCTCCTGCCTCTCCCCCAGAATGGGGGGCCCAGTGCCGTTCAAGAGCCAAGGGAGGTGCATGGGGACCACGGTGGCCGCAGGGAAAAGAGTCTCGGCCCATCCCATGTTGCCACCTCTTCCCCAAAAGGCCCAGGTCTCCTCAGGGCGGGATAAAACACCGCTGGCTCCCCACGAGAGCACTGCCATCCCAGGGGGGGACAGGACGGCTCAGCCTGGGGGGATTTGAGGGAGTTTCCCCACCCAAAAAGGCCTGAAGCAGGCAAGGTAGAGCATTTAAGCAGCTTCCCCACATTCTTCCCATCCTCTTACCGGCCACCAGCAATGGATGGAGCTGCCACTGCCATCGTGGCAGGTCAGGGCACCGTGCTGAGCTTTCCTGTCGTGCCCTTCATGGCCTCTTCTCCTTGTTTCCAGATGGGATTTCCCTTGTTTAGGGGGGAATAGTGCAGTAGGACCCAGCTCCTCCAAAACCCCCTGCTCTGGATGAAGGCCATCCCAGAGGACTGCCCCGCTCACAGCAAGGACAGGGCCAACTGAAGACAAGGGGACAGGGACAGGGCCACCATGCCACTGGTGCCTGGGTCCAGCCCAAGTCCCCACCCTCAGCATTTCCTGGCACCAGCCGTTCTCACCACCCTGGTGGCAGGATCTCCTCTGTGAGGGTTATTATCTTACATATATATGTGTTTTTTTTAAGGAATTATTTGCCTACGTGGAGCTCGGCGCTGCGGCAGAACAGCGCAAACAGCCTTATCGAGGGCAGCGCTGCCGCAGGGCACTTCCTCATGCACGGCTGCAGAACGGGGCCCTCCCTCACTGCCAGGGGGGTTGGCAGCCCCTGGCCTTCCCGCTGACCAGGCACCAGGGTGACGGACACCATACGATCCCAAGAAGAGGTTTTCTGGGATGTTTCCCCCCTGGCTCTGCGGCGGGAGAGCAGCGTGGCCGGGAGGGGCTTGGACTGAACTGAAAGGTCTTTAGCAGGACGGTTCTGCAGGGAAAGGGAGAGGACGGTGTAGTCCTCAGCTGCACTTCCCTGGGCACAAAGGCTCCACCAGCATCTCGCTGCTCCCTAAATCCTGCCAGACCCAAGCATCCAAGCTCTGCGGAGAGACAGACCAGCCTTGACCTGAGATTCCCTCTCCCGGCTGCGGTCGCTGCCTCCCTTCTCCCCCCGGGCAGCCGGGAGCAGACGAGGCCAAAGTCCCGGCAATCTCTGTTTTCCACTGAAGGCTGATAAGCCGCACAGGCACGGAACGGCCGCGATCCCCACCCATCCCAGTTTTGTGCAGAAGAGTCAATATTTAAACACAAGTTTGTTTCCTGGGTGGATAGAGGAGCGTTGGTGGGAGAAATCCCCGGCTCCATCCCGGGCGCCAGACACAAACCTCCTCCTTCCATCCCTTCATTTGTTCTCCCGACCACGTTTCACCCTGGATCCCCTCTCCTGTGAGGATGGGGCCCCATCCCCATTGGCTGAGCTGCTCAAGCACCAGCTGCAGGGCCAAACACTTGCTAATGGGCAGCGATTTAAGGAATGCTCAGGCAGGGTTTGGGTTGTGTCCTTGCCTGCTCCTGGTGCAGATGCTGTCCTTGCAGTGGGACACCTCAAACGGAGTGTGGGACGGGAAGAACCAGGGGTAGAAATGGGTAGAGGCGAGGAAATATTTAATCATCCTAAGAATGGCAGCCCCTGCCTCAAGGTAAGGCAGTGAACTGAAGGCTTTGAAACCTGGTTTTCATTTAAATTGAGTGAACAAAAACTATATTCAAGTGTTGTGTTTACAGCAAAGTTTGTGGGTCATGGAGAACTGGGCAGAAATTGCTGGCAGGAAGCTTGCTCTGGTGCAGGTTTAAGAAAATTCCTTAGGTAAATTCCTTAAGTAAATTCCTCAAAGGACAGGAAATAGCACTTTTCACTGCAGGGGCTGCAGCCAGGTTGTGCACAGGCTGCAGGAGGTTTCACAGGCATGTGACCAGCAGAAAGTGGCCCTAATTTGGAGGGTAAAGGTACATATTCCGGAGCAGGTGGTGTGTGATCTGGGAGATGCAGTGCCCAGTGTTGGAACAGGCAAAGGCCGGTGGGTGAGGATGCTGTGAGGGGGAAGATGGAGTGGCTGAGCCCACCTGACAGGTCTGAGAGCAGCAAAGGGTCTCCAACACCCCTTCCACAATACCTCAGGGTCAATTTTAACTCCAAAACCCCAATCCCATGTATATTGTTTCATGCAGCCAAGCCCTCTGCTGCCTCCACCCTCACTCCACGTGCACCCAATGCAGCTTGCTCAGCCTAAACCTCCTGACCTTCCACGGAGGTGAGGAAAACCAGGGGGAAACTGAGTTTGTAACGGCTGGTTTAGCTCTGCTTTGGGGAAAACACCAAAGGAAGTGCCTGTCTTAAACTGAAACCTTCCCTGAGAGAGCCTGTCATGCAGAAAAAAAAAATCACACTTTAAAAAAACAACAAACCAGGAACACCCAAGAGTTGTTTTATAGCTGTATTTTGGAGCATAATTAAATCCTCTTTGAAATCATCTCTGGTGTTAGGGAACAGGTCCATGCATTATTTAACTTCTGTTACTGTAGCACAAATGGGGAGGGAGGAAGGGAGAGAGGACAGACAGGACCAACTTCACTACACCGAAGGGAGCTGGGTGGGGACTGCCAGTCCCAGCAAGTACCACCACTGTCCTGCAAACCCTGCCTGGGAAGTGTGGATTGACCCTGTCTGATGGAGAAAAACGCTGTGTGATGGCAGGCCGGGGTCCCCAGAGGACCAGGATGAGATGTGACCCCAGCTGGTGCTGCTGCAGCACACAGGAACCTGCTCATGGACCCCACAACCTCTTCCCAGGGAGTGCAGCATCACCTCTGTGCAAAAGACTGCTTCGTGGGGGAACCAAAATGGGGAAATCTGCCTGGCTGCCATCACAGCACAGACTGGTGCAAAAAACCTCTTGTCTGAGCACAAATCCTGCCCTGATGCCACCCGTGAGCTCTGTTACACAGAGCCAGCCGTGCTCCTGTGAGCCCTTAAACCTGATGCCTTGTGAGCCTTTGGCCAGCTCCAGGTTTACTCCTTTATTCCAGGCAGCCCTGGACCGGGTGCCCCTGCTGCCCTGAGCCCTTTGTGTGCAGCACTGGCATCCAGTGCCTCCGTGTCCATCAGTGAAGGGGGAATGCTGGGGTTTGGGAGCCCAGCAGGGCTCCTGGTGCTGCTGCCTGGGAGATGCCCATCAAAGCAGTCGGGCCAGTCCAACCCAGCTCCCCTCCCTGCCTGCCCAGCCCACACCAGCAGCTCTGTTGGGTGAACTTTAAATACAAAGATCCTTCCCAAAGCAGTGACATCAGCAGCATATATCCCTCCCCAAGCACTCTCTCCATGTCCATGTCCCAACACTGCCCTGAGCTGAGCTGCACCTGTCTCTTTGGGACTCTGCTGTTCTTTGTAGTGGGATTGTTTCCCTTCTCTGTTTTGATCCTATAATTTCCCTCTCACACCCATGGGAGGTGGGGTGTTTCCAGGTGTTCAGGGACCCTCAAACCTTAAATATGGATCCCAGGTTGATCTTGCCCAGGATGAGCTCCCTGCCACACCAAGGTGTGCCCTCTCCAGAAGGATGAGGCAGGAGGGTGGTCACTTGGCATAACCTTTGCAGTGAGGTGACCTTGGATCTCCTGCTGCTTCTCAGCTCGGGCAGCACGAAGCAGTCTTTTGTCCCTGCAGCTCCTTTAGTACCTGGGCATTTTCTGGATTCCTGGACTTCTCCAGTGACTCCAGAGCTGCAGCCTGGACCAAAGAGACAAGACAACGCCCTTCTGCTCTCTCTGCTACACATCCCAGTCGAGACAGCCATGAGGATGGAGCTTTGGTCCAGCTGGAGCCTGAAGCCAGATGTCCAGAAGCCAGTCTGTCACTGGCCTTGCTGGAGAGGAGGTGTCAGTTCTGGCACCGTGGACTTCGGATCGGAGAATAGAAATATTACACATATCGAAACAAGCTTGGGGTTTCTGGAGGAGTCCACGTCCATCAGCTGTCCCTGCCCAGGATCAGTCGATGGGGAAGGAGGCAGCTGGGATGGGAGCCCTGCGGAAGAGCAGGCTGGAGCCACGGAACAGCTGCCCCTGTGGGGGAGAGTGAGCACGGGGTCAGGGCAGCCATGCCGAGGGAACTGCAGCTGGTTTAGCAGGGACTGACTCGTGCCCAGGGCAGGGCTGAAAGGTCTGGGCACCCTGGGCTGCCATGGAGGAGTAAGTGGTGTTTCAGCCCTGTGGGTGCTGGAGTTGGGCATTTCCCTCTGGGATGATGGATGGAGAGGGGCAGAGACCCTTTGCTGCAATGCACTGGCTGAAAGTTTGCAGGCTGCAAGCTCGGGACAGGTAACGGGCGGACCTGCACTGCCACGGCTGGTACCAGTGCCAAACCAGAGGGATAGAAGCAGGTTACAGAGCACTTCTGGGGAATGCTGGAGCCCTTGGGAAGGAGCAGAGGGAGCCCAAAGCCCAGCGTGTGCCCCGCTCCCTCACCTGAGCACTGAGGTACCTCCAGCAGTGGATCCAGGATGTGAAGGCGGGAGCGTAGGGAGGGAGGCCGGCACGCAACCTGCGTGGCAACAAGGAACAGCTGAGGGATGTCACGTTATCCAGACAGGTAACACAAGAGCAGCAGTGAGTGTAAGTGAGGACACAGAAGCAGTGTCTGCACTGGGCTGGCGGCCAAATGACCAGCTCGTTATTTACAATGCACCAGATCATGTAATTTAATTACCCCTGGAGTGTACAAACAAGGAGCGTTACCTGGATACGTTAAGAGTCCAGGACTGTATCTACACCCTCAAGAGCCAGAAGATACTGAGAAAACACTCCACCAGCTGCTTGGATCCCTTTCCCATGAGCACGAATGCAGAAGATTTCCTGCAGCAGTGGGATCAGGAAGGCAAGCCTGGTCCTGCTCCTGTCTGCACCCATCACTGCAGTAAGAGCTCTGCTTCCCTCGTGCCCCTCCCTGGAGCCAGCACGGTCCCTTTGATCCCTCTGCCTCCAGTCTAGCTCAGGTTGGACCACACCACCATGACTCTCCCTATTTCTCTCCACTTGAGCTTTTCTGCTGCTTGTGTCTGTGCCCTCTGATCTAAAATTATAAGCAACCTGGGACAGGAAACGAGCCAGCTCTGCGAGGTGCCACAGAGTTTATGGTTCTGTAGGAAAGCTTTACGGTCGTTAGCAGCGGGTTCAAACAAGGGGCTGCAAGAAAGGAAGGGAAAGCTTTAGATCTCAGTGTGAGGGACATACCCACAGTTGTTCACTGCCATGAGATCTCCCACGAGAAGGAATGGGTACGTCAGCATGCTCACAGCGATCTGAAAGCACAGGAGAACAGTAGCCTCTCTAATGCTCACCATGTCAAAAAAGCTATCTCCAGCTTTTGCATGTTATCCTCATTTGGATGTAAAGTACAGACCAGCCTTTGCCCTCAGACCACAACCTCTCAGGTCCCAGATGGCAGGAAGAGGGGAAAGGACATGGCAGTTGCCTACGTACCCCCATCACAAACTTTGTGTAGCTCCGGATCACTGATGCCTGGCTGAACTGCAAAGAGAAACCACAGGGGTTGAGGAGGAGAGGGATGACACCAGGCTGTCACAGTCACTGTGTGACACCCCCTGTGCCTGAGGAGAAGGGCATGGGGCAAAGGAACAAGGCAAAAAGCAACAGCAACCATGCTGCACCCCAGCTGAGAGCCTGGGAAGGCATTTGCTGTCAAATCTGATCCCCCAAACTGCAGGTGAGGCACAGCCCTGAGCAGCGCCTTCAGCCCTCTCACAGGGATGTACCCAAAGCCAGGTATCTGTATTAAATCAGCCCCTGCTTCCCAGTAACTCCTTCCAACTGCAGGTGCCTGGTCCAGACCCCAAACCCTCCATGGGGCACTTCCACTCACGTTATCGTCCACTGCGTAGGTGTTGATGAAATGAGCCACGAGGTTGCAGCACCAGAGGAAGATGACATCCCCCAGGATGTGAGGGACTAAACCACTGCAACGGCAAAAGGAGGGGTGTGAGGTGCAGGAGGGTCCCAGTGCCACCTTCTGAGGTGCCCAGCCCTCCTTCCCTCCACCAGCACAAAGGACACCCACTCCTCAAAATGCATCTTTACTTTGGGAGGAACTGAAACAGAGAAAAAGGTTTCAGGGAAGAGATCTCCCAGCCTTCACTCAGCTCTAGAGTGAGAAGTGTTTGCAATCTGTTGTTTGAGCATGACTCAACTCCCCTTGTTCTATCTCAAAATCCCTCCTTGGCCCAACTCCTGCTCAGAAACCCAAGCAAGACACAGATGAAGTGGTTTCCATTTTTCCAGATGCTTTTTTGGATGCAGGATTCTCATTGTGGAATCTCCCTTCTTTTAGAGATCAAAATGACAGGGATTGTTCCTGCACAACCCACTCCACTGAAAAGTGGGATTAACTGGGGGCAGCACTTGTGTCCTTCTGATTTTTCCCAGTCCCTGCTGCTCCCAGGAGCACAGTTCTTTGGTTTATGCCTCCCACCAACACACCAGAGCTCCTAGCAGCGCCAGCACCCCCAACTTCTGCAGATAATGGCACTAAAAACATTAACAAAACATTCCAAAGGGTTTCTCCAGTTTGCTGGTGCTTTGGCAGCATCTGTTGCACCAGTGCAGCCATCGAGCACAGGGTGTCCTGCTTTTGCAGGGCTTGTTCCACCACAAAAGGATCCAGGTGTGCGTTAAAACTTGTGTTTCACCAGCAGATGTGGTCACTTCTTCTGAAAATGAGCCTGTTGAGAGCCACACGAGCGTTTGCTGGGCTGGAAAGAGCCAACTCCAAGCACTGATTTATTCATTTCCTCCCAAACACGACACTGCCTCTTGGAGCAGGGGACCAGTTTTCTTTCCTGCTGTGGTTGCTGCAGCAGCAGAGCAGCAATTGGGACTCTGATCCAGCGTGCTGTGCTGGCACTTTTTGGAGACAACCTCTGTATTTTCAAGGCCCTGGCAGCTCTGGGGATGCAGCTGAGGTCTCAGGGACCAAGCACAGCAGAAATCTTCAACAGAAGATCCGCTGGCTTAAAAGATGTGAGACGTGAGAGCAGCAGACAGGACAAAGAAATCAAAGCCCTCTGGTCCCAAAGAGATGGTCTGCTTTGTGTTTGGCTTTCAGCCTTTGTAAAAAACATCCTTTCTCTAACTCAAATTCAAGTCTGAAGCCCCTGAACTGCTGCAGATACGATGGGGGTTTAATAAAGTCCAGAAACAGAAAGCTGGGCCAGGGGAGCCACGTAAGGAAAACCTCACCGCTGTGTTGACAGAGAATTGGATTGTTTGTTCCACTTGCAATAAGGATCTCATCCTTTCCTCCCCTCCAAAATAATGACAGATGCTGGCCCTGAGCTTATGGGATGCTGGAGACCAGGGAGAAAACTGCAGAAAGGGACTAAACAAACCCAACAAGCCAAAGGCATCAGGCCTGAAAACCCCTCCTGAAACTTCAGAGCTGCCTTTACTATTATTGCCATAAGAAAGTCAGTAGTACAGTTCTCACACCTGGTGAGATGTTCAACATCTGGACTAGGAATGTTTTTGGAAGATGATGAAAAGCTGGAACAGCAACAGGCAGATGAGGAAGCCTGAATGATGTACAGTGATGTGATCCAGGGGGAGGAAACCCCAGTGCAAAAGACAAATCACCTTTGAGCTGACCATGCACAGCAGCTTCAGAGCTCAGGGAACACCTTTCTGGCCTGGCAGGAGCCTGCTGCAGATAGGAGGGGAAAGGAGATAAAGACTTTTTGGGGGTGGACTTATCTCTAGCCAGGCACTCGTTCAGAGAGTGTGTGCTGCTATTATTGCTGTGTAGGGGTTATAAGACCACAAGAAACAAGTGCACTGTGATGATTTTAAGGGAGTGGATGTGCTGGGATTGCACCAGGAGGGCTCAGAGGAGAAACCCAGCAGATTGGTCCTTCAGATGCAGTTTGTGTTCCCCTCACAGCAGTGGGATTTCCTAACAGGGTTATAGAGCATGTAGAACTTCAGAGCCCTCCTGAGACAATTTGGGTTGTGTTAAAGCCTTTCCTGTGAACTAATTAGGCGACCAGGAGTGTTTATTTTATGTGGATGGAAGGGAATGTGGCGGCTGCTTTCATATCACTTCCTTGGGAGGTGGAGGGTTGTGGGCAGCCTGCTCCAACCAAACCCCACACTCAGGGACTATCCCAGAGGAACCTGGATTTAATGGAGGAGATGTGGAGCTGCACAGCTTAGCTGAGAAGATGCAGTGACACTCAACTGATGGGGGCTCTGCAGACCCCTGGCCCTTTCCTCACAAGACCCCCGTGATTGCTTCCCTCTTCCTGATGCATTCAGGTTTCAGCTGGAGGCCTACATTTTGTCATTGCAGAGCCAAAGGCATCCTGAAAACCCCTCCTGAAATTTCAGAGCTGCCTTTACTATTATTGACATAATACAGTGAGTTATCTCCCCACCACAAGCAGAGACAGCAGGTGGTTCTTCTTTTGTGTAGATGTGAAAAAGAAAGGCAGGAAGCATTAATTAAGGCTTCAAGCAAAAAGGTGTCCACTAAACTTCCATTTCAGTGATGCCACCAATTTGCCACCTTCCTGGAAGCAGCTGGAAGCATCTTTCAGCTCCTCCTGGTCCAGGCAGGAACGCTGCTGAGCCAAGGCAGCATCACACTCCCACCACACAGGTAAACCTGCTGCCACCAGCTCATTACAAGCACTCACTGAGCCCTGCAGACCAATGTGCTGCTTATCCAGGCCCTGGCTTTCATTTCAACAAGGGACCTTATTGTTGCACTTGATCTTGGTGCCTGTTGCACAAACAAATGCTCTAAATGGTTCACTGAAACACAAAGAAGGGTTAAGGGAAAAAGGAAGATAAGAAAAAATACAGGGTTTCCTCTGGGTTCTGAAGGTTTGATTGAAGATAAGATCTGGGGCAAACTTAATGGCCAAACAGGAGCCCTGTCAAAGGCACAGATTTAATCTGTGCTCAGGGGGGTGATGTGAGAGTCCCTTGGTCAGACAAGGTTTCAGCTCAGTGTGGCTCTGGCTGAGGTTGGCAGAGCAGCCAGGAGAGCCATCGGTGTCTTTGGACCGTGGGAGAAAATATTTAAACAACTCACGTACACAAAGAATCCCAGGATCCCTTCTTCCTTAAATATCCTGCCAATGGCACTGAACACACCACTGCCAAGAAAGGAAAAGAGCTGTGAGCGTGCAGGGGTTGTTCCATCCCTGCCCTGTGCAGCTTCACATGCAGCCCCCAGCCATAGCAGTGCCTCCCCAGCCATCATTCCAGCAGAAGGCAGCTTGTTCTCCTCAAACCAGGAAGGTTTGAGGGAAGGAAGGTCATGTCTGCACTCTCCCAGTCTCCAATAACACCCAGGACAACACTCACC